GCGATTCGATTTGCGATATTTGTTTTTAAGCGACCCAACGGAAGTTTATTGTAAAATGTGGCCATATCTCCGGCTAGGAAGGTTGCANGCGACAATGGAGAAAGTTCTGAGTCAGTATTCTAATCGGAGAATAGTCTCCTGGTGTAATTTTAAAATAAATCTGGGTGTCGTCTGCATAGATATGATAGCTTAGATCGTTGTTTTTAATAATTTGAGCCAGTGGTAGCATATAGATGTTAAAAAGCAAAGGTCCTAAGATGGAGCCTTGAGGAACCCTGCATGACATATTTGTCAAGGTTGATGTGTAGTTGCCTATTAAGACAACGTTTTTTCTGTCCTTTAAGTAGGAACTAAACCAATTTAGAGCTGTTGCTGAAACTTCCACCCAGTTTTCTAGATGGTCTAGCAATATGTTGTGGTCAACAGTATCAAACGCAGCGCTGAGATCTAATAATAGATCTCAGCCTGACAGACATGAGTGATTTATCTAACTATTTTACAGGGTATTTGTCCCCAAAAAGTATGTTGTAGTAGGGGATACATTATCATGCATTTAAGGATAGTGATCTACAGAGGCAAATCTTTTTGTCTACTTTTAAACCAAATTTGAAATCACAAGTTTGTATCTAGTATATAGTATAAAATAGTGACTCTAAAAAAATTATTAGGAGAAAATAGAGATATTAGCAAGTTCAGTAAGGAACTGGAAAAAGTGTTTTGGTGAAAGGAGGTGGAAGGCGCACTAAATCATGTGGGAGCTTTTCTGTGGGAAAAAAAGATGGCTGATATGGATGCAACAATTCTCTGAAAGGAAGGCTGCCGGCAGTACTTCTTGAATGACATGCTCAGCTTTGATGGGAGAATAATACCTCCATGGATCATTTGCACCTGAAAGGGAGTATTTATCATGGAAGGTCGAGACGGCGGAACAAAGCTCCTCTGTGTATTGCTACTGTTCTTGTTTCATGTGTATCTGTCTGTGCTGCTTACCAGAAGTGTTTGCTCTATATCCACAGGGGAATATGGTGGAGGGCCGTCCATGCCCCACGGAGCTTCTTGTAAGATATCTGGGGTAGGCAGGCAAATCTGACGAGACACGATGAAGTGGACAGCCTCCTCGCTTGCCTAGAGAACAAAAGGGAGGCAGCAGAGTTTAGACGTTATTTCGAAATCATACTTAGGCTAAATAATATGTAATTGAGAAATAACATTTACATTGATCAATAACCATTTGGATTTAATTAGGAATTAGTTAGAGGCAAAATCACATTTCTTTTTTTTATTTGGATGAAAAGGCCATTTAAGGAGAACATTGCAGGAAACTATGGTCCCTGCCATCGAACAACAATCTGTGACACGAACTTGTACCGAAGTCCAGCAACACTTATTCACACATTCACATAAAAGTGGTCCAACAAACACACAGATGTCGGCTTTTCTGTCCCTGCTCTGAGATTTCCTCGAGTCTCTGCAGCACAGAGCTGCCTCCTGAATTAGCCAGTCCAGCCTATTATTGTCTTAACTGGAGTAATTTTATTTTTCCCTGCCAGTTGCTAATCTCTGACAGAGAGAGGCCACGTTGGCTCCACTGAGGCCAGTCAGACTGCTCAGACAGGAGCTCCAGGGACCAGAGACCCTGCACGGTCAGCCACAAACACACTGCAATTAACCACGATTAACCACAAACACACCACCATTGACTGGCATCAACCAGGAACCAGAGACAGCCGCATGGCCCGGTCCATTAGGGAATCATCACAATTAAATACTATTAACTGCAGTGAGTGCAGACACAACAGCACAGCACCACACAATTAGCCTGAATCACCACAATTATCTTTAATACCTAAGGGATCCGGGGTAAGAACAGAACACTGTTGTTTAGGGTTTGCTACAACATGTGGAGTCGTTTGACTAATCAAAACGATAACCTTTACATACAACGGTAAATCCTACTTTAATCGATTCATGTAAAGGAGGACCTGTTGACTGACCTGGATTAGCAAAGCAGCGTGTTCTGGGGCTCCGTAACGTAGATCGTGCCCATTGATGGCCAGCACGCGGTCACCAACGCACAACTGTCCATCACGTGCTGCCAGGCCGCCCTCCAGGAGGTGAAAGATGAAGACACCATGCTCCTCCGGCCGCCTCACTAGCTTAATGCCCAGCTGCTCATCTGGAACGGATTTATTCAGGACCACATGGATGCTATCGTCCCTCAAGGGATGGTGGGGTAGACCGTGAGATAGGTGGCCCACGGCGACATCATGCCCGTGGCCGTGTGGGTGGCTGTGCGAATGTGAGCGGTAGTGATGGCGCTGTTCTCTGAGCACTGTAAGCCGGAGGAGCTGGCAGGGCTGTTTAAGTGTAGCCACGGCATAGCAGTGGGATACATTGCTGATGTCAATGCCATTGACCTGTTAGGGCAAGAGAGATGCAGGTTACAAATTGACTTTTGATTGCTTCCATTTCTTGTGAAACCGATCTTGACTGTGATACCTTCAGGATCATGTCCCCGGGCAGCAAGCGTCCATCTCGAGCAATGACACCTTCTCTGTATATATCCTGAATGAGGATGCGAACCAAGGGCGTCTCATTTCCACCGACAATGCTGATTGCCAGCGGGTCTGAAGGATCCACCCGCGTGATCTTAATACTGGTGAGTTCACCGTCAGGGATCAGGTGATGCAGCTGAGGAAGAGGCAGCACTAAGGGAGAAGGCGAAGAGAAAAAAAAGGCTGAGTTTATTTCTGAATTTTACTGTACATTGACAAAATAAATCAACTTTGACAAACAGCCAAATATAATATAGAAGGAATTGGGAGAAAGACAGAGAAAGAGACACATTGAGTGAGAACGTGTAGCAGACAATGTTGGAGAGATTCTGCAGTAAAACCAGCTGTTTCTACTCCCCCAGGTTACTAAAACAAACTTGTACAAGCCAAGAGGGAAAATTTACTTGGCTGATTATTCTGCTCGATGCTTGTATCATTAGTCACATACATCTGTAGCGAGTATGCTTGGGAAAACCCTGAATTTGAAATTTCCACAGGCTTTTTACTTGGGCGGGGATGCGAATACAGTTCTAAAAGGCAAAACTCTGCACATACTCAAACCAGTGCACAGTAAAAATGTTAATCGAAAAAGACAGATATCTTCTGGTTATTCAGTGAATCTGCACGAGGTACTTATAAAATATTAAATGTAGTATTTTATCCCCACTTTTTTTTTTACCTCAAGACTCTACATATACAGGATTCTGCCATATCAATAACTGCCAGGTGTAAATCATTGTCTGCTAGTTTTATCTCATTCAGCTGTGCATGCTCTCCTCCCCTGATGCCCAGTGGTGAATTCCACTTAACAGCAGAATGACGCATCCTAAACTGAACCACGTGAAGGTGGGTGGGGATTTTTTGTGATGATTTTGGCCAACAGCCTTGGCCAATAAATGCCACAGAAGATCTATTCCTCATGTTGTTTATTTTGATTTGGTTATGAAGAATGACTCTCGTTATTCCTCAGTGGGCTGTGTCCCTCTGCGCTTCTATCTCTGTAGCCCGAGTCGTTCGTTCTACTCACGCTGCACTTTCTCCATTCCAAAGTCAATATTTTGTCTTTATCGCAGCAGATTACTTCTAGGGTGGAAACTACATTAACACAGAGACCTGCAGCTATTATGTAACCCTTCCTTCTCTGTCAAACACACTTTCAACCACTGTCTTTCTCCATCCCGTCATTACTTTATTCATCCACTCCTCCATCCTTAGGGACATCTCGATGCCTTTATCTATTTCCTGATCTCCATTGTCTTCCTCTGCATCTGCTCTTCTCTCCATTTGTATGAATCTATCTCCACTTCAACCTTCTATCCTCTCCGTCTATCTTTGTCCCTCCAGCGGCTGGCAATGAATATTTAATATATTCTCCCAGCCTCCTCAGTGATGGCCTCAGAGAATAATCTAGTCCCTGATCGTTCGTCATCCTTCATTCTTACGCAACACCACATTCCTTCTCTTCTTCCTCTCATTCTGCAGTTCTACTTCAACATTATGGTCTCTTATGGTCGACTATATTTCCTCCACTTAAATATCATGAGGGTCAGGCTCTGGATATTCCATTAAATATGTCTAAAGCACACTGACTACATCACTTCTTATGGAGCTACCATCTCAAGAACAAGGCGCTCTCAGGGGACTACTCCATCAAGATGGTGCAAAAAAAAAAACTGTTGTCCCTGGTTGTGTTGGAGGGAGAAGAAGAAGAAGAAGATAGGAGGAGGAGAAGGATTGGAGGTGGAGAAAGAAGGTCACCATCCTCGTTTTCAGTGACCTCCCATATAACATCCCTGTCTAAAAAGCCCCAGGCTACCACTCTCCCTCCTGATCCATCTCTAGGGATGCACCAGCGGACTTATGCAATCTGCAGCTGAATTATTAAAGAAACATATGCTACTGTTACACTGTGGGCTCCCAGCAGTGTCACCCTCCTCGTACAGCAGAGGGAACATCACAGATGCACACATAGGGAAACACGCAGGCTCCTTGAGCCTCCTCTGGGGAAACAACACAAAATGCACAATACAAGCACAAACATATACATAAAAAAGAAGACACAGAAGAAATGCAGGCTTTGATCCATACCTTCCTGTGGAGCGTTGGAGTTCCTGGCGTTGTCTCTCTCCTCAGACGTCTCATTGCTCACTGCGTTGCCGCTCTTTGTCCTCCGCAGGACACTGAACGCCCGGTTCAACCTCCTGAAGGAACGGCTCCTCACTGAAGAACGGTCAAAATTTCTGACTGCAAAGAACACAGGGGAGAAAGAGAGGCACTTTAAGTATTACCTCACACTCAACATGCCCAGACATGTCTGAATCTGCCTCCTCACAGCCAATCCAATACCTCCTCCTTGTTTAGTGACTGAAATCTGTGTTGGTGTTTTGCTATACTGTTTGAACTGGTAAGAAGATGAAGTTGTACAATCGAGCGGTCCAGCTTGAATAATACAACCATGTGTGTCGTGGCTTAATAGATGCCAAAACAATGTGAAACAAGATTTTGCAATTGTATTAAGTGTTCAGCAATCCTGTCCCCCTTCATCGTTATGATAATTAGATTAATTTAGGACTATGCATTGTTCCTGAAGTATGTGATTTGCAAATGATATTGCCTTTTATCAAATATACCCTTAAGGGTTTCTAGTAGCCCAAGCAGAGCTATAGAACAATGTTTTTAACAGAGGGAAATATCTGGCTCTTCAGCTACTAAATGTTTCATTATGTTCACCAGCTAGTCTCTGTCTGCTGTTGTCGTTTACTGAAAATATTTTAAAAAATGTCAATGCCGGAAAAAAGAATACTATGAGGGTGATGGAACCAGTTTATTGGATCGGCACATCCATCTTAGTTTACATACATGTAAACAGGATTTTAAATATTCAACAACAATGAGCCTTGACAGTGTGATTTGGTGAGAAACAATGGACTCAAACAAAACTTTCTTTTAGGAAATTACAGTGCACCTTTAACGCAAAACCTGAGACAGGTTTAGGTTAATTTCCAGACCAACATGTGCTTTTATTTATGGAGCACTGCATTTTGATACCCACACTGCAGTAAAAATAGATTTTTCCCTCAAATAGAAAGTTTTGTTTGTTGTACAACTTCAATATCTCTTTTTTAGTGGATGAAGAAGCTTATTTTAACCATCTTTAATTAATAAAGCCAATCCGTGCTGAGTATATACTTGGTTGCATAACTGCAGCAGTGATGTAACACAGTGTGGACTTTAGTGACCACATGAGACGCCTTCAGGGAGACTGTTGACTGGTTCTTTGCCTTTTCTAGACAAATGACCAACAGGCTACATGAAGCTGCAGTGGAGAGGGGGCAGCGTGCCTCTGCAGCGCCCCACCC